CACTCAGACTGCTCTTTAGAAGGCCAGGTCCTGAAGATGAAACCCAAATCCTTTGGCCACCTAATGAGAAGGAAGGACTCCCTGGAGAAGAGCTTAATGCTGGGAACAATAGATGGCAAAAGAAGAAGGGGATGGCAGAGGATGAGGTGGCTAGATGGAGTCACTGAAGCAGTTGGTATGAGCTTAAGTGGACTCAGGGAGATGGTGGAGGAGAGGAAGGCCTGGAGAAATGTTGTCCATGGGGTCGCGAAGGGTTGGACATGACTTCGCAACTAGCAACAACAACAACGCCACTCAGTACCCTTGACAAATGATTCGTTGGGGAAGTAATGACCATTTAAAGTGGAATAAAAGTGTTCTAAATGTGTGGTGTAAATGCAAGGGGGATGGGAGGTAGTTCTTGAAGCAGCAAAGGCAAGCTGACCACATGTTGCTGAGTAGCAGCAGCTGACCATGAGGGAAAATGTCACAGAAATCACATGTGCATGCCTGGCAGGCCTCTCCAGATAGGTAGTTCCCAGAAATTGTTGGGAACTGTCAAAAGACACCCCTGTTTTTAACCTGTTAAATTCAGGACTCCAACACAATGGCAGCTGCCAGCCACAAACTAGCAAAATTAAGTCTCTTGAAGGGTGGTGGGGGAGAAACAGTGGCCCTGGCTTCAGGGATTCAGTGAGCCCCCTGAAGGCCCCCTCAAAAATAAGTGGGGGCACTCTGATCCCCCAAGGGCCCTCTCCGCTACAGCCTTGCTTCTGATTAAAGCAGAAAGGACTGTGCCTGTGCATAAGGACATTTAAGCTGGAGTGTGCTTCTCAGTGAACAAGCACAATCACTAATTTTACCTTGCACAAACTTTCTCAAATGTACTGTTTTTAGTCTTCAGTCCTTGAATTCTCAGGGTTTGATGCAGCTGACAGTTCTGATTTGCATTAGTAAAATGTGAAGATTTTACTGTTCATTCCTAATTTATTATCCTCAGATGTCATGTTCATTTTGAAGCATTGTAGGCTGTCTTTTTCTATCAACTGAGTAGATATATGATCTATGTATGCCAAGGGTGATTTCAGCTAGGACTAACCAGAGCTATTTCATATACAAGGACTCAGCTCCAGGTCATGCAAAGTAAACAGAAAGAGCATGCTAAATGCCTTCTTCTCACCATTAACACCCCTGCCCCCATATCAAAGAACAGGCCTGTCAGAATGATTTGAGCCCTCTTAGTACCTCTTGCTCTAGAATTAACAGCCTTTTACAATAAAAGACACTGCCCAAATGTCATGAAACATGTTTCAAAATGCCATCTACTATCTCTCTCTGCTCTAACATGGAGCAGACTCAGTTAAATCAGACAACAACGGGGGATGCCATGCTCAGGAGTGTTGTTTATGTCAGAAAATGTATCCTTAACTGAAAAACTACTGGAGGGGGCCCGCTTTTCCCCCACCACAGTATTAACTATTCCTCCTGCTTCTCTCTCACCTCTGCCTCTTCAGTGGCCAGTTATCATGACTCTTGTTTTAAAAGCCCTTAAGCAACAAAGGTACTAAGGCAGAAAGCAAGCGGACTCCTAATGCTACTGCTTAGAAGGCACTGTGCAGCTCTTCCGTCTTTTGCTCTTTGACAGATTTTCTGCAGTAAGGAAAAAAATAGAAGGAGTAGTGGGAAAACACAAGAGGGCTATGACTGGAAGTATCTCTCTAAAATCTCCATGAACAAAGTAGGGCAATAAAACTTTGTTTGAAGTGTGCCAAGAGAGGGTGTTTCATTGCCATGACTCCTGCTGCACTGGGCAAAGCTTGCCCACCCCAGCAGAAAAAAGGTGCCAGTGTTACCCCACATATGAAACTGCTTGATATATAACAAGGCGGACCACTGATTGACCTGACTTAGTACATGGGCCTATCCTAACATGGTGCATTCCTACTAGAACAGTAGGAAAGAATGGACATTGTAGTCTAACACAGCAGGAGAGCACCGGGTTAGGGAAGGCTCTGACAGAGGCTGACAGAGGCTTTTCCAAGATTTGAGACAAGGGTATTTTCTTGCCCTACCTGGAGGTGCCATGATTCAACCTGAAACCTTCTGCTTGCAAAACAAGTGCTCTACCAGCAAGCTATGGTCCCTTCCCATAGAAGATGCAGGTGGAGGATAAGTGAATGGGCTAGCTTTGTCTGAAAACACCTTTAATCATCCTGACTACAGGAGCTATATGAGGAGACATACAAGCAGAACCTAGAAATGATTGTCCTTCCGGCCCTGCTAAAGAGAAACCTCCACTTCAGAAATATCTCTAACACATCCCTGGTCCTTGTGGCTTTTACTGACTGCTCAAATGGTTGCTCTGAACTTTGTCCAGTTTTCTTCTTCATTCTGTAAGTTATTTAAGGCTGATGGAGAAGACTCACTTATGTAAATAGAAAGGTGTCAGATACAAACCCCACAATTTTATTTTATGAACTTCTCCTATTATTATTATTATTATTATTATTATTATTATTATTATTATTGGTGGGCATCATTAGTGTTTTGTTCTGGCATCAGCAAGGTCAGTATAATTTGATGGAGTCTTAAAGCAGAAATCACTTTTGAATCCCCCAAGTTACAACATAGCTCATTTACAATATAACAGTAGATGGTACAATGCTCATTTTCAATGGTTTTATTTAGTTGTTTCTTGTTAGCACCACAGTGTTAGGAGGCATTGTTTATACTGTCCTTAGAGCCTCTAACAAGTCACCCCCATGGGCCATTTAAAGTGTATGGGCTCTGCCAGAAGAATGCTCAGGAGGGTATCAAGGTTTAACAGGTTGTGTACTGAACTTCTCAGTGTCCAAAAACCAAGTTTCTTGAAGCCAGCCCAAGTCCTTATGGACTGTCAGCTTGTTAGGAAGAACATCACAGATAATTGCCCTGGAACTTTCTTCCCCAGTTATTCCATAGAGAAGGGCTACTTTTGCTGTCAGAATGAGACTGCTTGCTTTACTGAAAGAGCTGTCTCCCAGGGAGGGGTATGGGGTTAGAGGCTGTGTGTTCTGACAACTCCTGAAGCATCGCATGGAAAGAACCACTAAAATACATGGCAGGAAACTTTGTCTTCTGTTCTCTGCTTGGGGAGAGGTATTGATGCACCTGCTCACCCAGGCAGCTTTAAAGCCCATGGTGCATTCTGTGGCCTATTCAAAAAACCAGGATTTATTTATTTAACACTTACAATACTACCACAAGTAAGCAGTGCATACACTTTCTTTCACTTGTTTATATTCTTCATCCATATTTCAATATTCAATTATATGTATGTCATCTTTGACACAGGTGTTTCTTTTCTTCCCAAGGATCCTTGAAACTAAAGTGAGGTGCATTGGTGGTGTCATGAGCTAGGCGTTCCCTCCCCATCATCCTCCGACTCTGAGTTATCAGTTCCACCAAAATTGTCAGCTTCTCGTGCATGCCTGGGAATCTCACCAGAGCATGCACACACACAACAGGTGGGTACAGGCCCCAGGAGGTAAAATAGGTCCTGCCCCCATGGTACAGGGTAACAATTTTCATGTGGCCATTATCACCTCAGGTTTCACATGAGGAAGTGTTTTCATGCAAAAACCAGCTGAGCTACAAGGAAATGCCACATCTGAAAGGGCAACTTTTGGATAGAATCACAAAACCTTTCCAGACAACAGCTATTTATTTGGTTTTGGTGCCTGCAAAGCCCTTTCAGACAACAGCTATCGTCCCTGATTTCAATAAATGAAATAAAATAGAATGTCCCTGAGCAAGCACAGAGTGCCTTTTCTAACCACTGATTAAAGTAACCCCTTTGTACACATTTGTGATTAGAAAAAGGGATTCCAAATTAAAGGATTTGGTTGTCCAATAGCCTTGAACCTGAGCTGTTTTCCTGAGAGAGGTTATCCATGGGAAGTAAGAACTATCCATTATGTGCCACGGCTATAAAGAACTTATGAGTTAGTGATGCTCCAGAAAAACAAAAGAGCCTTATAACATGAAGGGCCTGGGAACGTTTTGAACATCATATATAGCATAGGCTTTGTCAAATGGAGGAAAGTTGCAGTTAATGTTAGATATTTAAAGATAATGCTGATTCCACTTTGCTTGGCAAAACTCCCTTGTCCTCCCTCTGTACAAAGCACCCTTAGTTTAAGCACCCCTGGATTTGATAGTAACTAAAGAAAGTATACCCCATGTTGAAAACACTGAGTACATCACAAATCAAGGCCAAGCCCTTCATCTGTAGCTGGGAACGTCCCAGTCTAGAGGCTCGAACATAATGCTTTGCTGAATAAGCAAACCCAACCACAACAGCACCTGCATTTGCACGCTCCGAAGGTGCCTGTTACTGCCTGCTCCCCAGGTGCAAACCAGGCAGAGAGCACTGCAAGAACACCGCTGCAGGGTGACCCACACCCAGAGTGCAGCATGAGGAGGGCTGCTTGGCTCTTGAGCCTTCCCCAGCTTGTTCCCTTCAGCTGTGTTGGACTGCAATCCCTATAAGTCATCACTCTTGCACAGGCAGGCAAGTGTCTCCAGGCTACAGTTATTGTCTCGTCATTTGGTGATACCAAAATAAATTAATCTGCAGAGGAGACAGAACTCAAAGTGGGAAATGAGGAATTTCTTGCAGAGATTCCTCTGCTATCAGAACCAAACCAGTCCCTTCTAAGCTAGGCCTTGGGTCTTGAAATAAGAGAGCTCCTGGAGATCATTCTCCAAATTCCAAGCACACAGAAAGGAATGTAATGGAAGGGGTGTGTGATCTAAGTCTTGTAGGAAAGAATACATCTGGGGCCTGATTTCTCAAGGAGCAACATTTATGCTGTCAGACTTTGCCAGTAGCAATGCTGGCTGGTGATGGTGGAAACGCAGTCCAAGACATCTTAATAGCATCGGACTGGTAAAAGCTGGTTTATGGAATCCTGTCTCTGCCTTTCGCAAGGAAAGGATTTCTTCACTCATGTTAATTAGAGAAGCACTAGAGCTCTTACCCGTGAAGCCAAGCTATCCTTACAGTGCAGGCTGATTCCACACTCATCAGTGATTTCCGAGAGGTCTTCATCTTCAAACTCTTCAAGGCTGATGTCATGCGTGAGCCTAGTCAAGGCAAAGACAATGTGGTTATCCATTAAAGAAAACAAACCAGCAGGAAAACACCACACACCGTTGCTTGGAGTAATCCTCAAGGCTGGAACCAAGGCAGAGAAGAGGAAGTTGCATACAGAGTTACATTATCAATTATCGGAAATAATAGTACAGAGGAAGCGATCAAAACAAATCATATTTCCTGCCGCAACAATTACCCAAGTGCTTTCCTGATTTTCTCTCCTTGACATTATGATCCTTTAATGTTTTCTGTAGCTTGGATCACAAAGGATGACCCCATGTCTTGAAACAGGAAAACAACTGACCACTTTCTGAGGGAACCATTTTGTATATTTTCATATGTCAAATGTTGGGTTTAAAAAACAGTTTTCTATACCTGTGGCCCTCCAGATATTGTTGGATGCTGTGCTCCAAAAGCCAGATGTGGTGAAGGGGAAGGAGAGAGCAGAGTTCATTTATACCTGAGGTCCATCGCCGGAAACATGTGGGTGCAGGAGAGTAAGGCGTGCAGGACAACATTTTTTTCAGGGGACACCCCTTCTAATGTCCAGTGTCCAGTATAATGCCTCATACCTGATCCAACATATTCTGGTGTGTTGCCTTCTTTAGGGGCAAAAAGATCCATTTCGACATAATGTTGGAGTTCACTTAAAGAGCTGAGAGATCTTTCTGCTCCAAACAAAGCCAACCCCTCCCCCCCAAAAAAAATCAAGCATAAAATATTGTATAACTTTTAAAAAGCTGGTTTTGAAACTTTGTCTTAGCCCTTTTTTTTAGCTTGCTTCCTTTGGTTCTCCCTCTCTTTTCTGTCAGTTAGTGCAACTTCTAAAACAGCCTGAAACACCAAACATTTCATTGCAGTAATTCACTGGCTAACCTTTCCTCAAACACACCCATGTGAACAGCTGACAATAAAAGACAAGTTGTAAAGGTCTTGCTTGCCACCACCGGAATCGTCAGAACTAGGCTTATTGTGTGGCGCTCCCAAACTCAGATTCTTATACCATTTTCTAGAAATAAGTTCAAGTTATACTGAAACCCCCAACACATATACAGATAAAAGTGAAAGTCAGTATAACCTAATACCCCCACTCCTCCAAAGCACCATTAAAATAATAAATGACCTGAAACATAGTATCATTTATGTGTGTGTGTGTGTGTGTGTGTGTGTGTGTGTGTGTGTGTGTGTACGCGGTTCGTGAGTGATTAACTATATAATACAGGGCAGCGGAACCAGATCAACAGACATAGCAGGGTGGGGGAGAGTTCCAGATGATGACATCTTCCAGTTGTAGCTTTCCTGGGTTTTCTCAGTTTCTTCCATCTTTCTTCCTTCCACAAAAAATCATTAAGGAGAAGACAGAATAGCTCCACAATCAATGCCTTTTAAGTCCCTCCTCTCATAGAGATCATGGACTGTTTTCTTTCATCCTGACAATTAATTTTGTCTGCCTTTACTAGGTAGGGAGGAAAAGGAAGAAAGAGGGCAGTGAGCTATCAGGATTTTCACTGCAAAGCTTGGGCTGCAAGGGCGCAGTCCTCACATGTGGATGGAATTTGCCTGATGACATTCTGAAGAGTGATGAGGCAGTCAGAGCAATCATGAGTCTAGAGCACCTTTCCTCAAACTAGTGTGGTCCAAGTATGTCGAATTACTGCTGCCATTCTTCCCAGCCAAAACGAACAATGGGAACTGTAGTCCAGCACATGTGGAGGGCACCTGATTAGAGGAAGCTGCACCTCAGCTTCCCTCCCACATTTGGAAACTCTGGTGTGACTTAACGCAGCTTTTAGTATTAGAGGAAATAAATGCAGGCTAAAATCAGTTTAGAATTTCAAATCCACTAACTTTATTAGTGCTTTTATACATGGTGCCACTGTCTACTACTGTGGAACTCAAGAGTCCCCTGAAGCTGAGTGCAAAAGTGCAGGTAAGCAAATGCTAGAAATAGGGCTGCTTCCTTCCACCTGGGGGAGAGCACACGGAGCCCATTGCAACGACAAAGGAGGAAGGCGTAAGAAAAAGGAGCCAGTCCGCAGGACAAGGGGCTGTTGATGCAACAGCCTCTCTGTTGCCCCCTACTGTTTGGAACTATGTGGAATCGTTTTCATTCTCCAGCATTCCCGATCACCTCACCTTTATTTCTTAGAGTGAAGTTGAAGGTGAGTTTGGAGAATGAACAAAGTGATTCAGTTATATCTAATTGTATCCCTCCCTTCTCATTTGATAAGGGAAAGCTGTAATGCTAAGCCTCCACTGGCATAATTTATTCCAATTTTCTTCTAAGTTTCAAGCATCAGTTGCAAAGAGTTTAACCAAATTAGCAAACGTCTTTTATTCCTCATTAGATAGGTGCTCTTTTCAATTTTATAGAGGATTTGCCTCCTCGAGGGTGCACCCTATGCAAGTCTAGACAGAAAAAAGGGCCTATGAGCTGAAACATTCTGGGAATTCTAGGCCTTTTTTTTGTCTGAACTTGCATAGGATTGTGTCTTTATTGTCTCATCTCAGGGTAGAATTCAGACTACTGAGAATAGTGTTGTTCAATGTTGCATAAGTCAGGCTTGAATGCTAAAGAGAAGAGCCAGTATCCCAACTCTTATCTCCCAAAGTGGTCCAGCTTGCCTCTATGGTGTCCTATTGTCACAGATAATTCCTCCCTATAATACACTTCAGCATCAGCATCATTAGTATTATTACACTGCATTTATATCCCATCGTTTTCCTCTTGTGAGGAACCCAAAGCTGCTTACATAGCTTTTGTTTCACCCTCACAACAACAACCCTGTGAGGTAGGTTCAGCTGAAGGTGACAGTTCCAGAGTCACCCAGTGGCTTTCATGGCCAAATGGGGCCTAGAACCCAGATCTCCTGGGGCCTCTGTCCCCAGTATTTTAGCCTCCATGCTACACTGGAAGGAAAGATGTCATTTTCCTTTGTGGCCAGAACTGGCAGTAGTTTCCATTAACTGATCCTGCCATTATGCCTTAAATGCATTTAAAGAGATCTTTTTCACACAGACTATTTTGAGCTTAAGGATCAAATATCAACTATGCAAATATATGAGGCAGTTCAGTATTGTCTGGCAATGCACCCTCCTGAATATGAAGTATTATCCTGTGCTGCAATATGTGGACATGTGAAATATTGGGCTGTATCTGATATTACGTGAACTGAGATTTACTCATGCAGTGAGATGTTCCCATCTCATCCTCCCAACTGCAGAAACCTCAGATCCGCTTCGGAGGGCTTCCCAACCTTCCAGAACAGATCTGGGTCTAAGTGGAATGGGACACTGTGCAGGCAGGAGGAAAATCCGTTCCACTAGTGGCATTTCATCTGCTGGGAGATGGACACCATTAGATACTATCCATGGTTTCCCTTTCCCTGTTTCACACATGGTAGTTTTTCCTCTAGAGATGAAGGCAATCTCTTGTGAAATGATGTATAAGTATCTATTCTGCCACAATATATATGGGCTGAGAAGTACAGTGTGTCACAGAAGGCAGAAATATACACATATCCTGTTTCCCCCATAAACACAGATCATTTCTGTATCAGAAAATAGCCATAGTTAAGTGTGCCTCAATTCCACTTATGGGACAATTGCTCTCTCAGCTGACAGTCCTGCCTACTAGAACCCCCACTCCCACCACACTCACCAGACCTCCTCCATGGCAAGAGTGTTTCACATCTCTTTCTTACCTACATGGAATGTTATGTCTTTACAAATACATATCGTGAACATGGGGAGAAAGAGGCTACATGTTCCAAAAGCATTTTGATAATGAAAATGTGAAACACTTCAACATAAAATTGATACTGTGCTCTACAACAAAGTCTGACAGAACCATCTATTAGATTTCTAGCACTCTGCCATCTCTCTCTCTCTCTCTCTCTCTCTCTCTCTCTCTCCTGAATGTGGAGTATAATGTTAAGAAAAGACAATTTTCAGAATTTATTTATTTAAAACATTTCTATGCCGCCCCATTTGCCGAAGCCTCGGGGCGGCTCACAACATAAATTAAAATATAATACATTAAAAATATAAAACAAATTAACAACATAAAATAAGTCGCCCTGGCCAGATAATTTAACCCTAATACTCTGGCCTAACTCTTTCCTAATAACCTGCAAATTCAATAAATGTATAACCAGTACCCTATTCTGTTTCTGTTTCATGTATTTTGTATCACAAAAACACCACCATTCAAGGAGAAACATAACACCATTGCAGATGAAGTAGATGAATCTAGATGTAAGTACAAAGTGTGGAGAAACAGGTTTTGGCTAAAGAAGATTCAAGTAAGACTCACAAGCCGCTGCAAGATTCAATTACTGAGTTGAAAGAAGCAGGGAACAACAGTAGTAATGTGAGGTGGCCAGATAACTGCTACCACACAGACCCACATACAGATGGAGAGAAAGAAAAGCTACCAAGAATAATACTTCGCAAGAAAACGACTTTCCCTTCTTTAACACCATATCCTTTGAGGCTTATGTTAGGTTTCAGTTGCTTCTATGTGCTCAGGAATCTAGCAAACATATATTTTAAAAGAGCTTTTAGATTCCTGTGTCCTTCCTCCCCTAGGAGAGAAATGTCCTTCTGCACCGCTAGCAAGATCCGTAAGATTATTGACCGGATTTGGCATTAAGAACCAAAACAGACATGCTGACCTGTCCCCATGGAAATAAAAAAAAGCAGTAAGGGTGACAGCAAGGAAGGAAGACTAAATCATTCATAGATTAACTCCATGCATCTTATCAATATTGATTCTAATTCCTCTTAAACCTCCACCAAAGTGCTTTCTTCAGCCAATATGCAACTTATGGCTTTTGCTATATCAATTTGCAGAAGAACAATGGGGAACATTTAGGGACATTTTGCCAAGGGCAAGTCGTTGCACAGAGAAATTTTTCACTGCTCCAAGTGAAGCTGGCTGCTTAGAGCAGAATCCTGCAAAGAAGCTGTCACACTCAGAGCAGATCTCAGCTAAATCTTTCCTTTGGCCATTGTTCATGGGGTGTGGGAGGTTTCCTCTCTCTGTGACAAGTTACACTGAGAAGGTGTTGCCATTCTAATTTGTGATTTTCTGGGAAAAATGGAAAGCCGCCTTTCATAGGCAAAAGATGTCAGGCAAGAAAACCAATGCCTGCTGGCTTTCTCTACACACCTCATGCCCCACACACAATTCACAACTCGTTGCATTATCATACCGGTGCCAGAAAATGAGATTACCAGAGCTGAAGGGCAATAGGCTTGTAATTATAAAAAATGGCACATTTGTGGATAAAGCAAGGGGGAGTGACTTCAGACATGCAACTTGTGTGACTCAAAAGGGTTACACACAGGAAGAAAGCAAAGAGGAGGAGATAAGGTGGGGTATAATTCAGAGTCAATACACAATTGGCTACCAAAGCATTAATTGATTCCCTCTCCTTCTCCAGAGAGGTTATGGGAGTCAGGAAATCACTTCTGTTAGTATTATTCTTTTGCATGCAAATATCTCTCTGTGTCACTATGATGCTAAAAAAATGGACAATGACCCCCAAATCTGACAGAACATTTTTTAAAAGCCCATAACCTCCCAGAAGAGAGTTTCAAAGCTTATTTGATCACTTCCA